ACGTTGGTTTTCTGAGTTGGAGGGGGATCGATCTCGCGAGTCTCCCCCCGGATGCATCCCAATCCCCGGGATAGGTCATCCCATGAGTTACGAAGACAGATTCATCCTCCGGATCGTCCCTAAGTCGGAGGAAAGAGTCGGAGGCTGGTACCTGGGAACTGGATCCCCTCCTGGGCTTGCGGAGCACCCGCTTCTTCGGTTTCTTTGCCTTGGAACTCGGGGAGACCGAGGGTTCTCTTCCTCTTCTTCTTTCCCTCTGTGGCAGCAACAGAGGGATCAACGTGTGGGGGCACATCTTCGTTCCTTTCGAAGGCCTGAGTTCGGTGGTCTTAGAAAAATCTACAATGATAAGAAGGTGGATGGGTTAGTATAATATAAGGTGGAGACATAATGTTGGCTATTCGGAAAGAGACCTTACCATGAGAATGGGCTTCCCATCAGCCCTTTGAGAGTCCGCTCCACGTGCGCTCGAAGTAGGATATCTGAGTACAGATGCCCTCGATCCACTCCTTTAACTGGGGGACTGTATTTAGAACCAGGGCAACAACTGCATAGCCATAAATATGAATGAGAAGATCGAAATAAAAGAAGAAGAAATTTGATGTTGAAAGAATGAGTTGCACTTATGAGACGCATTCCATTTCTGAGGAAATGGCATATATTCTGAGGGGATCAAATCCTCGGTCTTCACTTGGATGAAGCATCCCTGCCAGCCCGGTCTCGGTCTTCACTGATCCTGGAGAAGGGGGCCTTGCTCGCCCGACATGTAAGCTTGATCAGCCCCCCTCAAAACATCCCGGGACTGTATAATCAAAGTAGGTAGTCGATCGTGAACCGACGAGATTCGATCTTGTTCACGAAGTAACGGAGGAGAGTCACGATACTCCCCAATGATAGATGGATTTGACTGAGGCACACCTCGTACCTCTTGCAAAACTCCAGGACGATCGGGTCCACCAGGCCCAACGTAAAGTGATTAGCGTAAACACTTAAGTACCCCTCCACATGGATAGTCCGTGCCTTCCCAATTGCAGTCCTTACGAACTATGGGAAGAAGGTCCTCGATCACAGAACATATATATCTCGAGACTCCTTCGCCCCGGTCCTGTTTGCGCGAAGGCTTATCGACCTTGAAGTCGTCTGCAATTGAGCATCCCCCAGGGATAAACACCGACAAAGGAGGCTCGGGGGCCGGTTAGTTAGCAGCCGCAATAGGGGAAGACATTTCGAGGGTCACCACCTAGGGGCTGACTGCTTCAGTACCAGCAACCGATTGAGAAGATGAAGAGGCAACTTGTTGAGGAACAATTTTCGATGTTTTTGTCATTGTCATCTAGGAGAGTGTTTGAAAATTTGAGAAATAAACACGAAGTTTTGGAAAAATGGGTTTTGAAGATGAAGAATAGAGTATGAAGATTTGAAGAAATTTTGGTAGAAATCTGGGGATTGCTATGAAGATTGAAGAACAGGGATGAAGATATGAAGATGTGAAGAAGGTTTTGAGTATCGTTGGAAGGCCCGAAGATAGTGGTTTGATCATAAAGTAGAAAAAGGACAAAGGAATGAGGCTTTTATAAGGAAACAGCCGATGCTTCACATTCAGAGACAACCAGCCGGTGAGCGACACGTGTCCGAAGTTAGAATAACGCAATTGATGGGATGTTTTGGCTCCCCGTCGTGACGTACAAGGGAAGGAACCGGAGTCATCTGTCGTTTCCCATTGTTTCAGCAATCTAACTCTCTGAGAAAAGGGACTATTTATATACGGGTAAAATCGAGACCGCTGCATGACTTGACTTCCCGGTGAGCCAAACGGAGTAGGAACGCGACCGTAATATATCGGGGTCAGAGTAAAGAGCCTCTCGTATCAGGGCTCAGGCAAACACCTGCCCTCGAGGATATCGGGGCCATATCCTCGAGGTCCGATTTGAGGATTGAGATTTCGGAGAGCATTACCAAGCAGCTGCATACGACTAACAAAGGGCCGCGATGTCCATGCCTAACCGGATATCACAACGAGAATCTCGGCTCGTATCAGCAGAAAATTAGTGATCGGCGAAACAAAAGATTTTACCTTTTTTAGAATTGTACTTAGGGTAAAACTCCCCTACTATATAAAGGGGAAAGCTTATTATTCATGGAGGACATTGTAACACGCATATCAAGGCAATATATTCTTATTCTCTCTGTTATTCAAAGTTCTTACTTTTGTTCATCAGCTACTCATTAATGTGAGCTCGGAATCAAGACAGGCACTTCGTTACGCCGTTACTGAGTCCGGGATCACTCTGCTTATTGATTTGACAATTTATTACATCTTTTATCTGTTTAATCTAACGCCATTTATTGTTTGTATTGAATTAATCCACGTATCCTTAAAACCACATATAAATTCAATTGTTATCCATTTTTGCGGGTAAACAATATGAAAGACCAATTTTAAAACAACAGCTCCTGAAACAAATGCAAAATTTAAGTCTATATGGTATTTATGCGATCCTGTCCACTGACAAGTGACACCCTACTTACCTTAACTAAAACTTGACTACTTTAGTTTATTGTTGAGATTGTAGATTTATCTTCGCTTGATAAAAAGTGAGGGATTTATAATTTATAATATATAGTGTTCTACTAATAAGTCCTACTGTTAGGATATACTATAAACCATGCGTATTGTTATAGTATTCTTTATGTAATATTTATTTATTTATTTATTCAATTCAATAAAGTTTTATATTGAATACATCATGTATTTGTCTGTATGTCCGTTGCTTATATAGTAGATAATTTAGTGTATAGAGTTTAACTTATATACGGAAGATTAGATCATCGGTTCTTATAAGTCATAAAGTTTATGTTCACAATCTATTGATCGAATTGGACAAACCATCGGAATGGTTGTAGCACAAGATTAAATATAATTTATCTTGATTATGAGAATGGTTTAATTCCGACTTCTTGTGCTAGTACATTTTGTATGTACTGAACGGATCAAGTAGAGATAAGTATTTTATACTGACTTAATGAAATAATTTCTCTAGTCCATTCAATGTACTTATACTTTTAATCTTGATATAGTTATTATTAGTTGTGTATGTCATTTATTGTTTTGATTTATTAAAAGGCGAGATTCTTTCATGGTTCAATAAGCTTGGTAAATTGGATAATAATGATATACATTGGCGAAGTAATAATTAGTTGATAGAATCCATGTCTCGGCTTTTGAGATTGATGATACTCCTTTATGAAAGCTTATAATTTTTCATGTTTAAACCCGACCGGTGAATTTTGTATCCGACACATGAAATAAGTTAAGCGAAAGTCTAAAGGAAGAAATCAATAAATTAAATTGTCAGTAATTTAATTTGATTGATTAGTATCTAAATCTTAACATGGAGAGTTAAATAAGGTTTTATGGAAGAATTTCGAAATTGAACTAAGGAGTGCAATTACTAATTTTTAGTGAAATAATTCGTAATTTATTATGGTAGAAATTAATTTCGAAAATTTCATAATACGGAGCCTTGTTAATTAAATTATGTGGTCCCTACTGTGTCTAAATAATAATAAATAAAGGAAACCTTTTCTTATATATACTCCATATAGGGCTGGCCGTTTTTGCACTGGTTTTTGCACATTTTTCCTTGGAACTTCGCCCACCCAAAATTCTCTCTTTTCGGATATTATTTGGGTAATACAGTAAAAGACTGTGGAACGTTTTGCTGATGTCGCGGTCTTGATACTCTGGAACTGGAGACTGAGATTAATTTGCTTTGTTCACGCTTCAAGAGGTAACTCGAATAATCTCCGTATGTGCTAATTGTTTTAATTTACACGTGAATATGATACTAAATTGCTTTCGCTGCGATATATAATCCAACAATTGGTATCAGAGCCTACTCACGTCTAATTAAATAATTAGGATGAACATAAAAAGAAACATCATGTTAATATGCAAGTTTTTGAATTACATGCAAAGATTGTTTTTCTGTAAAACTGCACTGTTTTGAGCATGAATATTTATTCTGAGAATTTTGATTATTCTGAAAATCATGTAATATATGCTTATTGTTGATGATATTTGACTAGAATAATCTGAAAATTTTGTTAATCAGAGGAAAACGCAAAAAGCTACTATTTGGCCGAATTGGCCAGAAAATCGGAGGTCAATATGTTGACGGACTTCGATTGACCTGAAATTTGGCAAGTCCATGTGAAACGGCCCAGTGATCAATACACATCAGCTTTGCTCATGATGTAAGTCGTTTTTCGGGCTTTCGGGGTCGTTTAGATGGTGTTTTGGGTATTTTTCTAATTTTTCTGGAATATATTTCGAATTTGTTTTTTGTTGTTTTAATCCAGTGATGGTAGGGATCATTTCCTATGGACTCCAGGGTTAAATTCTGGTAATATAATGATTTTACACGTTGACATAGGTCTTCTTCCATATCAGATAAACTCATTATAGATAATCACTAGGTTATACTAGTTGTTAATTACTTGTATTTACTCTCCATCTGAGTATGCATGTTGGTTCAATGGCACTAGTATATTGAATGTTGATATTCACTTGACTTAAATTAACAGTTTACTCTCCATCTGAGTGTGGTCTGTTTAAATTCATGGAGTGAATAATCTGCCATTACATATGTCTACTGCAAGAATAACTCTTTTCCCATCGAAACTTGTTATTCAAGGTGCATGGATTATACATGTGTAGTGTGTTTTGAATTTTAATATTCAATAATACATGACTGATTTTGATCTATTTATTTAATTCTCTCAGATTAACTATGACTGCTTTCAATCCCCTTACTGCTATTCTTACTTAAAATAAACTTAAGGGTACGAATTATGTTGATAGGAAACGAAACTTAGATATTGTCCTAATTGCTAAAGAGTAAAAATTTGTGCTCGATGAGGTGTGTCCAGAAAAACCTGGAGATGATGCTACGGATGATGAACAAAAAGCTTACCAAAAATGGGTTAAGGCTGATGAGATGGCGCGGTGTTACATTCTGGCATCTATGTCGAATGTTCTGCAATATCAGCATCAGTCTATGGAGCCTGCTTATGACATTCTGGAAAATCTCAAAGAGATGTTTGGAGATCAGAACCGTGCGGCTAAGCAGACTGCCATGAAAGCTCTTCTGAATACCAAAATAGTTGAAGGTTCATCTGTTAGGGACTATGTTTTGAAGATGATGAGTCTTCTGAATAAATTGGAGGTCCTTAGAGCTAACATTGATAAGGATACGCAGGTTGAAATGATCCTGCAGACTCTACCTGACAGTTTTCAGCAGTTTTGCCTGAATTATAATATGAACAAAACGGATTTGTCACTTGTGAAATTACTGAATGGACTGCAGTCATCAGAGACTATTATCAAGCAACAAGCTCCTCCTGTGGCATTAAATTTTGAGGTAGGTTCTTCTTCTAAGCTGAGAGGCGGACAAAAGAAGAAAAAGGCTAAAAAAACCCTCTGTTGGTAGTGCAACTGTTGGTGTGAAATAGGCTAAGGGCAAATGATATCACTGCAGGAAGCCTGGGCATCATAAGAAGCAATGTCCGGCTTATCTGGCCAAGCTAAATAATAAACCAGATGATTTACATCTACTTGTCGTTGAAACTCTTTTAGTTGTTGTTTCTACCATGTCATGGTGTGTAGATTCGGGAGATACTAATCATGTCTGCACTTATTTTCAGGGGTTTCAGGTAATGCGACGGCTAAGTAGAGAAGAAATCAATATTTATCAAGCAGATGGTTCGGTAGCCCTAACTTTAGCATTAGGAAATATTAGTATTTCATTTGGTAGTGATAGAATATTAGCTTTAAAGGACACGTTATATGTACCTTCCGTTAGAAGGAATTTAATTTCGGTTTCTAGCGCTATGAGAGATGGTTATGACATTAATTTTTATGATATTGATAAATGTGTTATTAGTCATAATAAACGTTATATCTCTTCGGCTACATTGATTAATGGTCTTTTTATTGTTGATTCTATTCCTAAACTGTTACAACCTAAAGAACTGAATTATATTGATTCACCAAATAAGAGAAAACGTTCTTCTAAATTGAGTGAAACATATTTATGGCACTTGCATTTGGGTCATATAAATCTAAACAGAATTTCAAGGTTGGTTAAGGATGGACCTTTAAGTTCATTAAAAGTGGAGGCACTACCAACTTGTTAATCTTATTTAGAAGAAAATATGACAAAACTAAATTTCCCCTCAAAAGGAAATTAAGCAAGTGAAAAATTAGAGTTAATTCATTCTGATTTATGTGGTCCAATGAATGTCCAAGCAAGAGGTGATTTTGAGTATTTTGTGACTTTCACGGATGATTACACAAAGTATGGATATATTTATTTGTTTCGTCGAAAGTCTGAATGTTTTGAAAATTTCAAAGAATTTAAGACAGAGACTGAAAAGCGACATAATAAATATATCAAGTCACTACGATCTGATCATGGTGGGGAATACCTCTCTGCAGAATTTATTAGTTACTTATCAGAATATGGAATTATCTCTCAATTATCTGCACCTGGAACACCACAATGAAATGGTATAGCTGAAAGAAGAAATAGGACTCTTATGTACATGGTTAGATCAATGATGAGTTATTCTAGTTTGCCTTCATCCTTTTGGGGACATGCCTTAAAAACAACAAATTACGTTATGAATTTAGTTCCTTCAAAGTCAGTACCTTTGACCCCTACAGAATTGTGGATTGGGCGCAAGCCTAGTCTGTGGCATATTCGAGTTTTGGGTTGTCCGGCACATGTGCTAAAAGGGAAAATAGATAAATTGGAGGCGAGAATGGATGTATGTGTGTTTGTGGGTTATCCAAAATGGACGATAGGTGGTTTATTCTATTGTCCAAAAGAAAAGAAGATAATTGTTAGCACAAGTGCCAAGTTTCTTGAAGAGGACTATTTGATGAACCATGTTCCTAGAAGTAAACTTGTTTTACAAGAACTTAGCAAAGGAATGGAAACTCAGTCATCTGAAAAACAAAACGACAAGATGCAAACCCAGGAAGTCAATTTTGAGATACCATTGCATTTTAGTAGTGGGATAAATGTCAATAGACTTGATGTCCCGCAAGAACAAGTGCCCGAAATCATACTACCACAAAGTAGTTGGAGTTATGTTGAGCAAACTGCACAATATGATGAAGTCGTTGATATCCCTGTGGATAGCATGGAGACTCATATTCCTGATAATGATGTAGTTCAACCACAAGATCATAATGGTATAGTTGCAACTGATATAGTGCGTAGTCGTAGTGGGAAAGAAATAAGACAACTGGTTCGTTATACGCTCTTGGGAGAATCATATGATAGGATCCCTGAGGAGCCAACTTTTGAACCTATCAATTACGACCAAGCACTACATGATAAAGATGTTGATAAGTGGGTTGCTTATATGAAATCAGAGATGGGGTCTATGTACTCTAATCAAGTCTGGGATCTTGTAGAACTACCTGATGGGGTTAAACCCAGTGGATGTAAGTGGATCTATAAGAAAAAGAGAGGCGTAGATGGAAAAGTGCAAATTCTTAAAGCAAGGCTTGTAGCGAAAGGGTTTACTAAAAAAGAAGGGATCGATTATGAGGAAACTTTCTCGCCGGTAGCCATGCTTAAGTCTATTAGGATTCTCTTATCCATTGCTGCTCATTATGATTATGAGATTTGGAAAATGGATGTCAAGACAACTTCCTTAAAGGACATCTTGATGAGTGCATCTATATGATGCAACCAGATGGTTTCGTAGAAAGTGGCAAGGAACATATGTTGTGTAAGCTTAAAAGGTCCATTTATGGACTGAAACATGCATCTAGGACATGGAGCACTTGTTTTGACAAGGCGATTAAAACTTTTGATTTTGATCAATGTCTTAACGAGTCTTGTGTATACAAGAAATGGGATGGGGACAAAGTGACATTTTTAATCTTATATGTAGATGACATATTGCTCATAGGAAATGATGTGGGCATGTTGGGTTTAGTTAAGCAGTGGTTGTCCACGCACTTCGATATGAATAATTTGGGAGAAACGACTCATATCCTTGGGATCAAGCTCTTGCGAGATCACAAAAAAGGGATATTAGGCTTATCTCAGGCTCTTTATATTGATACAATACTCTCCAGGTTTAGCATGCATGATTCCAAGAAAGGATTTCTCCTTTTCATGCCTTGAATTTCTCTATCTAAAGATCAGTCGCCTAAAACTGATAAAGAGATAAAAAAGATGAAGGCGGTCCCCTATGCATCTGTTGTGGGGAGTCTGATGTATGCCATGTTATGTACTAGACCTGATATCTGCTTTGTCGTTGGCGTTGTTAGCAGATTTCAGTCTAATCTTGGGAGAGAGCATTGGACAGCGGTTAAGCATATAATCAAGTACCTGAAAATGACTAGGGATTATATGCTAGTCTACCATTCGGATGCCCTTATGCCTATTGGGTATATTGATTCGGATTTTCAGTCAGATAGAGATTCTAGAAAGTTTACCTCAAAAAATGTGTTTACTCTAGGAGGTGGAGCCATAAGTTGGAGGAGCATCAAGCAAACTTGTGTTACTGATTCCACCATGGAAGCCAAATATGTGGCAGCCTCTGAGGCAGCCAAAGAGGTGGTTTGGCTCGGGAACTTCCTAAGAGAGTTAGGTGTGGTTTCCTCGATTCAAGCACCAATAACACTTTATTATGATAATAGTGGTGCGGTTGCAAATTCGAAGGAGCCACGAAGCCATAAAAGAGCAAAGCAGATTGAGCATAAATATCATTTAATTCGTGAGATAGTACAAAGAGGGAATGTAGTAATCGCCAAGATTGCGTCGGAAAACAACTTGGCAGACCCGTTTACTAAAAGCTTGCCACAGAAGACTTTTGATAGGAATGTAGACGGAATGAGTGTCAGAATTGTAAACGCATGCTTATAAGTCTAAGTGGGAGATTGTTAGGATATACTATAAACCATGCATATTGTTATAGTGTTCTTTATGGAATAATTATTTATTTTCTTATTCAATTCAATAAAGTTTTATTTTGAATACATCATGTGTTTGTATGTATGTCCGTTGTTTATATAGTAAATGATTTAGTGTATAGAGTTTAGCTTATATACGGATGGTTAGATCATCGGTTCTTATAAGTCATAAAGTTTATGTTCACAATCTAATAATGAAATTGGACAAACTATTAGAATGGTTATAGCACAAGATTAAATATAATTTATCTTGATTATGGGAATGGTTTAATTCCGACTTCTTGTGCTAGTACATTTGGTATGTACTGAACGGATCAAGTAGAGATAAGTATTTTATACTAACTTAATGAAATAATTTCTCTAGTCCATTCAATGTACTTATACTTTTAATCTTGATATAGTTGTTATTAGTTGTGTGTGTCATTTATTGTTTTGATTTATTAAAAGGCGAGATTCTTTCGTGGGTCAATAAGCTTGGTAAATTAGACAATAATGATATACATTGGCGAAGTAATAATTAGTTAATAGTATCCATGTCTCGGCTTTTGATATTGTTGATACTCCTTTATGAAAGTTTATAAGTTTTCATGTGTAAACCCGACCGGTGAATTTTGTATCCGACACAAGAAATAAGTTAAGCAAAATTCTAAAGGAAGTAATCAATAAATTAAATTGTCAGTAATTTAATTTGATTGATTAGTTTTTGAATCTTAACATGGGGAGTTAAATATGGTTTTATGGAAGAATTTCGAAATTGAACTAAGAAGTGCAATTATGAATTTTTAGTGGAATAATTCATAATTTATTATGGTAGAAATTAATTTTGAATTTCGAAATTAATTCCATAATAGGGAGCCTTGTTAACTAAATTATGTGGTTCCTACTGTGCCTAAATAATATGAAATAAAGGAAACATTTTCTTAGTGGAAGAAGAAAATCTAACAGGTTTTGGAAAAGGGTTTTAACCTAAAAAAACGTGGCTATATATACTCCATATAGGTTTGACCGTTTTTGCACTGGTTTTTGCACGTTTTTCCTTGGAATTTCGCCCACCCGAAATTTTCTCTTTCCGGATATTATTTGGGTAACACAGTAGAAGATTGTGGAACGTTTTGCTGAGGTCGCGGTCTTGCTACTCTGAAACTGGAGACCGAGATTAATCTGATTTGTTCACGATTCAAGAGGTAACTCGAATAATCTCCGTATGTGCTAATTATTTTAATTTACAAGTGAATATGATACTGAATTGCTTCCGCTGCGATATATAATCCAATACCTACAAATGTCATTACAGCAACAACCAAATACACATTACATAGAAACCGAATCATGTCATAAATATTATTTTCTCGGGTCCATATGGCCTTTTATTTTGATCATAAATAAGTGTCATTTTACATAATTAAAAAGGAATTAATTTTGTTTTTAAAATTTGCCCGTATTTAAGTGTCCTTTTATCAAACACCAATATGTCAAATTAACAAATCAAGAATA